ACTATAGTACCCGCAAACTAGTACTATAGTAAAACTAGAGCCGGTTAAGATTAAGGATAAAGAGGAATTCGAGATAGAATCTATTATAGCCTATAAAAAGAATAAAAAAAAAAAAAGTATCTTATTTATTAGAAAGGCTATTTACTAGTAAATAATATATAAGAACTACTAAGTAATCTAGAGAATATAGCTTAAGAATTACAAGAATACTTGAAAAGAAGTAATATTATAATATTATTAGCTAAATAGAGATATAAAAGATAAATGCTTTTATTAGGAAACTATTAAAAAACTATATATTTATTCTTGGAAAAACTATATAAAAATTATTAAAAACTTTAATTTCTATATCCTATAAATATCCTATTCTTATAACTATTTTTTATTATCTTTATTATTATTCTTATTAGAATTCTCTTAAGAAATAGGTAATAAATTAGCCTATAAAGCTATTAGCTATTAGTAAGAAATAAGAAAGAAATAAGCTTACTTAATATTAAAGAATATTAACTATACTATTAAGAGTACTTTATACTTATACTAAGCTAGTAAGAATTACTTGATTTATTTCTTGAATTATTAGGAGAATCCGTTAGTCTTGAATAATAGCTTTAATATAAGAAGTATATATAGTTTAGTATAGAAGAAGAGTAGTAATAGCTTTCTTCCTTTTAGGTAAAAAATAGGGAAAATGCTTATATATATTAATAGCTTAAAGAAGGCAGTTTAACCATATTATATATATTTAAGAAACCTTAAATAGTATTAGAATAAGAAATAAAAAAAGGAATTTATAACTTATAGAATTATACTTCTTATTCTTAGAATAGTAGTAATTATATACCGAGTAATTATTACTCTTAATATAAGTAAGATTAGGAAACTTAGTAATATTCTTAGAATATTAAAGATAATAAGGGCAAATTAAGGATATAGGAATATTGGCTAAACGGGTAGTAATAGGCTAATAAGTACTAAGAGGAGTATTTATCTTAATAAATAAAGAAATAAAAGAAGAAATTAAAAGGGGACTTAAATAAAGCTTAAATAAGGCTTAAAAAAGCTTAAAGGAGCTTAAAGAAGGCTTAAAAAAAGAAGGCAAAAGATAAAAAGAAGCTAGGTATGGTATTATAGTTAAGAAAAAAAAAGATTAGTTAGTAGGAAAAGAGAGGCCTTTTTATAATATTCTCTCTCCAAATAATAATTACAAATTCGGAATCGGCTCTATATTAGAAATATCTAGAAAATTCCAAAGAAGGAATTTATAAATAAACTAGAAGATCAGATTAACTTTTCCAAACTCTTAGGCCTATAAAGTAATAATTTATTTATAAATAGAGGCTAAGTTAGGATTTATAAACTAATTAGGAGATCGGATAAGCTTTATATCCGATAGTATATACTATATTCATATTACCTTTATAAGGGGGAATTGCCAGAGGCAATTTATGAACTAGCTAGGAAAAGTTAGTAAACTATATTTTTAACTCTATTACCTAATATAATAATAGGATAATTATAAAAAGTTTTTAGGAAAAGCCAGTAGCCAGGAAAGTTTTAGGGAAATATTTATAAAGCTATTTATAGTTTTCCCAGGCCTTTTAGGAATAAGGGCCCAGAGGGGGAATTAATATAATAGGTATATATAATAGTATATAGACAAGTATTAGATATTATAGATCTAGTTTCCTATTTTAAATATAGCTTATAATCGGAATTATATAGATTATATAGGATTTCCTAATTAAGTAAAGGGCTTTATATACCTGGCTAAGTACTAGGGAATATATAAGGAGATACTTCTAGCTTTAGAAAAGGTATTAATTAGTTTCTTATTAGAATTAATTCTTGGAATTAGTTATACTTACAAGCATTACTTTATAGCTTACTTATCTTAATTACTTATATATTATCTTGCTATTACGTGCCTTATATTAATAGCCTAAAACAAATCTAGTCTATTTTATATTAAAGAAAGGAACTATTTATTAATTTTATAAAAGTATTTAGTAACTTATAGAAAAGATATTAGTTTTTATTAATTAATAAGTAATTAGCTATTTAACTATTTATCTATTTAACTTCTATTATTCTTTAAAACTAACTTCTTTTAATTCTAAGACTACTTTCTTAGAAACTATCTTTTCTACTTATATAATATCCGTATTTATAAAACCCCTTTCCGGAATATATATCCTATATATATTCTTAAAGCTTTTTAATTACTATTTCGATTTTATTATTAAATTAAGTTCTTCGAGCTTTAGACTCTTCCAGAATTATAATATTTCACTTCTTAAATTTCTTATTATAAATAAAATATTTACTTTAATACTCATAATACCTCTAGATATCTAAGTATCTAATATCTTTATTAGATATCTAGTATCTAGATATCTGGGGCATCTGGTATTTGAATTAGGTATCTGGGCATCTGGATATCTTTACTATTAAACCCTTTCTATAAACCTACTATAAACTACTTTATCTTTAAACTCCTCCTACTATAAACCACATATATACTAGAGAGAACCTAAACTCGGTTTAGTATAGATACTAATAAGGAAAAGAAACTAATTAAGAAATAAGAGAAAGATATTAATCTAGTAATTATAATAAAGGCTAATTTTTAGGAATATCTAATTACTAAAATATATTAGTATATCTTATATAAGAAAAGTAATAATAATCTATAGGATCTATTCTAGAATAACTTTAAAAACTTTAATATTATAATATATAGGCTAATTAATTATATATTTATATAAAATCTTTAAGCCTAATTTTAATATAATAGTATTTATATTAAATAAAATTATAAAAACCTTATTATTATATAATTCTTTATTAATCTTACCTAAAAAATAATAAAAAGCATATAAAACAAAGCTAATATTATTAATAATAATATAATTAAAATAGATCTTCTTTAGGGACTTATTATATTAGTTTATTTTATTTTAGATAAAACTAGATATAAGGAAACCAGATATTTTTAGTTAAGAAATCAAGCTATTTATTTATTTCTTCTAAATTAAGGCTATTTACTATTTCTATTTTTACTATTACTAGTATTACTATTAAACCCGAACTTCTATTAATTAATACCTATTATTATTACTAGAAAGCTTATTAGGAAAATAGTAAAGATATATTTTAAAATATAGAAATATAATAGAACTAATAATAGTTTTAATTATAAATTTACTATTTTTCTTAATATTTACTAATATATAAAGCTTCTAGAAAAGGTATTAGTAAGAGCTTTTTCTATTATATTAAAGAAACTAGTATAAGACTACTTTTATAATAACTAGCTCTCGAGCCATATATATAAAAAGGCCTATATAAATATTTATAGCTTCTTTAAAGGCCCCGGTTTCTATTATTAAAATTTAGATAAATAAAATACTATTACCTTAATAACTATAATAATAAAGAACTCTAAAAAGACAATATTTGAGCTTATTTAAATACTAATTAATAATTTATATAAATTATAATATGGCTTTATTTTTACTTTATAAAATACTAAATTCTTATATAATAAAATTATTATTTCTTATTAAGGCTTACTAGTATACTAATATATAGTTTCGGACTCTTTTAATAAACTCGGCTAGCTTATTAATAAGCTCTAATTATTTATTATTACTTATAAAAAAAAGTAATAAATTAATATTAAAACTTATTTTATTAATTAATAATACTATTCTTAAAACTCTTTAAGCTACTATTTATTTAGAAATTATTAATATAAATCTAGCTATAATTTCGAAACCTGTAATAACTATTTCAAGTCTTATAATTATAATAATTATATTTTATATATAAGAAACCCGAATATTACTTATAGAAATATATACTAGAGAAATAAAAGACTAAAAAGGCCTAATTTAAGAATAGAAATATTTACTAATTTAAATTCCGAAATACCTATAACTTTAATAAATGCTTTAATAATACTTATATATAGTATATTATTAAATTTAAAAAAATAAATCATAAAAATAATAAAGGCAAATTAGTAAATAATACTTTTAAAGCTTTATTAGTAGAAATAAATAAAGAAAAGAAATATTATTTAAATTTCTATTTTACTTTTATTAAAAGCTTTTTAGCTATTTCTACTACTCCTGCTTTTATTATTTCTATAACTAATACTTTTATAAATAACTTTATTTCTCTTTTCCTTATATACTAAATAATAAATAAAAACTATATCTTAAAGCTTATTAAATAAATAGAAGATATCTAGATATTTATAATTAATAATATATTAAGATATAATACTTATTATTTTTATAGAATTATAATTAATACCGGAGTTTCTAGATTCTTAACTATTAGTTCTAACTAATTCTAAGCTTTATAATATACTAATAATAGTATTTAATTTAATAGAATTACTAAAGATTAAGTTAATATCTAGTTTAATATTAGATTTATATTCTTTATTAGATCTATAATAGCAAGAATACTAATTAGGCAAATATAATTCTATATTATATTTATAAAAACTCTATTTCTATTTAGCTTAACTAATATAGATAAGCTAGAAATCTATTTTAATAATTTTACTAATTATTTCATTACTTCTATTAAATACTTTATATCTATAATATAATATTTTAGATATTCTTTCCTGCTTTTAAATATTATATTATAAAGCTTTATTTCCGAATTCTTTATTTATAATTCCTACTTTCTTATAGAGATTAAATTATAATATTTATATTACTATTTTAGTTATTTATTTATTAGTAAACTCCGAAATATACTAAAATAAGCAGGCTATAATATTAATATAGAGGCCCTTAAATACCTTATAAAATACTATAAATAATACTAGAAATTCGAATAATTACCGGAATAATTCAAGTTTAATCTAAGAAATAATATTAGCTTTAGTTACTTTATTATTATTAATATTTTCTATATTTCTAATAAGCCTATATTTTATATTATTAATAAAAGTACTTAATATTAAGCCGGCTATCACGATAAGGTAATATTGCAGTAGTGGTAAAGAGCTTGAATTGAGCTAAAGGCTGTGTGCCGGGCTAAAAGCACTGGCTATACGCTAAGTCACGTGCAGTGGCACCACGTGACTGGCACCACGTAATAAGTCCCCCCCTTCAGACTCAAAAGACGACGTCCTCGTCGCAATACAGCCATTCTAGGCTACCCAAATAAGAAGTCTACTAGTATGGAGCGTCCTTCTCCCCCAGGAGCTTGCATCTCACTCCCAGGGCCCTGTAAGACAAGCAAGCAAGCCATGGTAACGTATATCCCAAAATATGCCCCCTACTTGTATATTGCCTCCTTTTCTACCATACTTCTTGTTCGCGCCGTATCCAGTCTTAATAACCTCCCAATTGCAACTACCATGTGTACCTTGTACCCTAATATAGAGGGATACTAGCCAAGTAAAGACTTGGGGAGGTGAGGAATCGGACGACTCTGCCGGTGAGGGTGTATATGGCACGAAGCTCTTTCTGCAGGGGCGAGGGGAATATCGCTTTGTTACTATAGTAATTCGTACCGTATCGTGAGGTCAATCGATCGTAATTATTGCATTGCTACCATATGTTACGATAAGGTGATATTGCAGTGGTAGTAAAGAGCTTGAATTGAGCTAAAGGCTGTGTGCCGGGCTAAAAGCACTGGCTACATACTAAGTCACGTATAGTGGCACCACGTGACTAGTACTACGTAATACCGGCTAATAACTTTAAAATATTAGTATATTATATATTTGAAATACCCTAAAATAATATTAGATTAATATATATTTAGGTTCTTCTAATTAGATTATAGTAAATACTAGAAAGTAGTTTATTAGTAAAGAATTCATTTAGTTTATAAATATTATAGAAACCAAAATTAAAATTATTTCTATAAAAGCTTATAATTCTATTAGAATTATAAAATACTATTATAGCCCGATTTAATATATTTATTTTATTATTATAGCCAAAATTAATAGAATTAATAAAGATATTATATTTTAAATAGCTTTTAAGGCTATTAATAATTTTATTAAACCCAATAGTATTATTTTAATTATTTTAATTTATAATACTTTATTTTAAATAACTAAATATAATATCCTATTACTAATTATATTATAGTAATTAGTAGTATTTAAGAAAGTAATAATAGGAATTCAGAAGCTTTAAGCTAAATACTAAATTGCAAATATTTTAAATACCCGAAATAATTCTAATATTATTAATATTTATAAACTTTCTTTAAATTCAAATATTCTTATATAATATAAAGAAAATACTAGTTAATCTAGTAATTATAATAGGATATATAAGCTAATAGCTATTAATAGAAAGAACTATATACTAGCTTTATTATATAGTAATACTATTTTCTATTTAACTTTTATAAAGCTATTTTATATAGGAAATATTAAAATTATTACTAATAGCCCTAAACCTGAAACTATTTCCGAACTTTATAATAAGGCTAAAAGTAATACAGATATAATTTCTTTTATTATTCCTAATATTTTATTAAAATATAGCAGAAAACACCCTTATAAAAACCCGGATTTTATAGTATTTCTATAAAATAATAACTTATATAAGAATTCTCACTAAGTTAAAATTACTAGTTTCCTAAAAAAAGATATATTTAAAGTTATTTCTAGATTTCAGATACTAAAGAAAATATATATCTTTAATTCCTGGTTTATTAATAAGATTAAAAATAAAAATATAGAAAAAAAGTTTAAAAAGTCGAGACTAGTTATCTAAGCTTATAATAATAATAAGAAATGTATAATATTAATATAATTACTTACTATTTAATATATTAGCCAGAAAATTGTCTTTAGTATTACTATTATAATAATAAATACTATAGAATTATATTTATATAATATCTTATAAGCTTATATCTAATTAATAACTTTATTTAATTATAATTTTTATATTAATTTATTTTATAAGCTTATTAGAAAACTAAATCTAAAGAATAATTCTATTCTAAAAGTTATAAAACTATTATATAATATATTAGAAACTGGGAATTACTAGTTTAAAACTTACTATTTCTATTATACTAATAAGTTTTTTATAAAATAATTAACTTATAACCCTTGCCTTTTTTATAGTAAATAACTCTTCGGAATTATTAGCCTTTAAACTAATAATACTTTATTTATTAGAACTAATAATTTTATAAAAATAAAGTAATTAAAGCTTTAAAAGACTAAATTCTTAGCTAAGGTATTATGATTTCTAGATACCCGGTATCTGAAATGCCTGGCCAGATATTAGATATCTTCTAGATATATATAATACGGCTGCCTTACTAGGGAAATATACTTGAAATATACTAGAGATATTTAGAAGGCTAGGCCCCTTTGGGACTAGTATACTATAAGATATATATATTTCCTTATAGCCTCCTATATTCTAGCTTTCTCTTTCTTAGCTTTAAATCGTCTTTATAAGAGATCTTTTACCTTGCTTTCCAAGCCCTAAATATTATACCTATAATAGTATTTAAAGCTTACTTTCTTTAATTTTATAAAGGATTTCAAATAAACTAATTTAGAACTATTAGAAATATAAGTATTATTAAGATAACGGAATCTCAGAAATATAAGTAATAGATTCTAGAATAATAAAAGCAAAAAGCTTTAGAACCCTTAGAGGAATTAAATATTTATATTTTTATAAATATATACTAGTAATATATTAGAAACTCTTTTAAAAACCCGAAAATTAAAGAATTACAAATAAAGGCTACTCTTTAACTAAGTCCTAGAATAATAGATATTTATAGGCTAGTAATCTAACTATTATTCTTAAGCCCTATTCTATAACTTTATAGGCCCTATATATATACTAGTAATAAGATTACTAGGAAAGATATAATAGAGGAAAAAGTATAATAAATTAATTTTTCAGGATATTATATAACCAGAAACTATATTAACTTCCGCTAAGGCTTCTAGTAAAGCTTCTACTAGTTCAGGTTATCCCGTTAGTAGCCCTTTCCGAAGTAAATATCTTATTAGTATTTCTAGAAAATTTATAAATAAGTCTATAGAAATAGAATTCTCTGCTTTTATTATAAAGCTTCTAGAGACCAAAAACTATATTATTACCGGAAAATTATATAAATAGATTAAAAAGCCTAATAACTTACTCTTAGATATTAATATTATTATAAAGAGCTACTAGAAGAATATCTAAAAGGCTATTTTATATAAGAATACCTATAGTTATAATAAAGCTATTCTCAAAAATACTAAGTTCTATAATACTAAACTCAAGAATAATATTAAATACTATATAGCTATAATAGACTGGTTTATAATAGCTCTAGCCGCTTCTACTATTTCCGTAGTCCCGGCTATTCCGAACTATCTCTTACTTATTTCCGTTTAGAATTCCCTATATCTTATACTTTCTTTAGAATTACTAGAATTACTAAGCTCCCAGATCTAACTCTCTTTACTAGAAATTATACTATCTTTAATAACTAGCTAGTTCAGATTAAGAATAAGCTATAAGGAAATACTAATTTATATTTCTCTAAGAATCTTAAGATTATTTATATTTCTAATAAACTTACTAGTAATACTCTTATTTTAACTAATTCTTATATAAATAAAGATAGTTCGAATTAGTACTATTAGCTTTTAGAGTTCTATTTCTATTTAAAAAAGCTATATTCTAATTCTAATAAGATATAGAATACTTGTTATAACTTTAGTAAGCTTTAAATATACTCTAGTTAAGTATTTTAGGAGTTCTATATTCTTTTCTTATAACTATTTATAAAAGGCAGTATTAGTTTTTAAAATATTAAGTATAAACTAAGTAAAAAGCTTTTACTAAAGCTTTAGAAATTAGTATATATATATTATAATAATTCTTCTATTAATACTACTTGCTTTACTTAGTACTATATTACTAATTATTAGTAAATTAAGGCTATATATAAGAAGACTAAGAAATATAAAAAGACAAAAGCTATTCTAGTCAAGTTTACTTCTAGTACTATATTCTCTTATATTTCTAAAAAATATACTTCTAAAAAGGAATTCAAGAAGCCTATATTAACTACTTTTATTAAATATATACTGTGGTACGGCAGGCCGTACTCGTCAAAAATCATATTGTTTTAGCGGTTTTGAGGTTTAGGTCATATGGTAAAGGCCGCAGCCTTTTATACGTGACTTGCGGAAATCATATTAGAAAGCTGGTTTTTCTGTAGACTTAGAGAATAATCCTTTATAAGTATTTAATTAATTAAGCTTTTGCATACTATATACTATTTATGCTTTACTATTTACGCTTTTGATTTGTTATTTTGCTATCAAGTCACGTTTTGCGCTCTGGTATACTTTATATGGGTTTTTGTCTTATTGCAGTTTCCCTCCCACAATACTCTCTTATAAATATAAGTAATATCCTATAAAAACCAAAAATCTCTTAACTATTAAGTACTATAACTATAACGAGTTCGGCTATTATATTAGGTACTATCCGGCTAGATATAGTAAGGAAACTAAAATAGCTTTTTCTAGAATTAAGCTAGGCTTAGTTCCTATTTTACTAGAATACCTAATTACTAATCTAATAAAATATTTAGAGAATTTAAGCTCTAATTCTAGTATGAAACCGAAAAACAAATATCCCTAAAGAAAGTCTCTATTTTAAAGGCTTATAATATAGATTTAGTAAAAATTAACTTAACTTATCTAATAAAAAGAAATACTTTTATAATATTTTATATTATTAGTATAAATAAATTAGGAATTAAGTCTTTTTTCTTTATTAATACTAGAGCTAATAATTATACTTTTATTAATATAAAGCTTATTTAGCTTATAAAGTAATTCTTAGAAATAAAACTATAACTTCTTCTCTTATTCTATATTATATATAGTTTTAATAAAAAGCTAGTTAAGTTTACTAAGAAATATATAGAAGTTTTATTTCTAATTAATAAATAAAATATTAATATACCTATAATTATTCTAAATCTTAGAAATTATAATATTATTCTTAATAGAAAATAGGCTATATATATTAATATTCTAGTTAATTATAGAAGATATAGGCTTATATAGCTAAAATAAAAAAAAGCCTAAATTTATATAATTCGATTATATTATTAGTATTTCTTAGTAATAGCTAGAGAAATAATCTAATAAGAAATATTAAAAAGATACTAATTAATGAGATTCTATTATAAGCTATTTCTAGAAACTTTTTATTCTTAAATAGTTTTTCTCTTTTTAGACTAATTAGAGGAAATTATATAAAACTATAAAAAAGAAGCTTTTATAGCCTAATTAAAATATAATACCTAAATAAAAGCCAAAAAAGCGAGAGGAAATCCTTAATAAAAAGCAAATATTAGATCTAGTTATTCTTATTTCTATAGTATTTAATTATATAGCTAAAAGAAAAAATATTATTATTAGTTAAATATCTATTTATAAGATTAATAAAAAGCTTAAAGTACGGAAAAGAGAAGCTATTTCTAGCCCAGAGAATTAATAACCGGGAAAAATAGAGCTTTAACAGCTCTAGAGAATATTATTTCTAGAATTTAAGAAATATATCTCTGTTTTCTCTAA